TTGACTTTCATATATTGTATTTTTTTAAAAATTATTTTAACAAAAAATATCATTTATCTTTTATGTGCATTAAAATCTATACAATATATAAAGGGAATACTTTGGGTGTGACTTATTTTTCTATCATTTTTACCCTTATATTATTGCGTAATTTACTTAATAACTTTCTATTATTAACTTTCACATAACTTCTTATTATTAACTTCCACATAACTTCTTAATATAAAATAAATATACTTCTTCTAACTAATTCTCTACACCAACTCAATTTTTTAAACATTATCTTATGATGTTTCAAAGTATGCACCTAAAATAAAATTATGAATTAGAAAACACCAGTAAAATTAATTAGACAACACCTACAAAATAACATAACAAAAATTTAAAAACAACCTTAAGTTAGAAAGAAAATTAAAATTCATAAATGCCATTTAATATTATATTGTGATGCTTCAATTCAAAATATCCATTTATAAAAGAAAACATAACTACTAAAACTGAGTAAGAGAAAATAAAAATCATAAATTGATGGAGAGAAATTTACCCCTATGTGAGGTAATGACCTCTAATTTAAATTATATAAGCTACTTACTACAAAATATGAACCTGAAAAGAAAAAAAAAAGAAGAGAAAATAGATTTAAGAGTGATATACTTCTTTTAAACTGTCAATTCCTAAAACTCAAAATGCTTCAAATTATATAACATCTAGAAAAATATAATTAAGAATTAGAAAACAACAATAAATTTAGGACAAAAAATATAATTAAGAATTATAAAACAACGATAAATTTAGAAAGAGAGAAAAAACCATACATTTTAAGAGATTGATACTTAAATATGCCGACTCTTACATTTCAAAATTTTAAAAAAAAATTGTGATGTTTTAAATTTACTTTAAAGTATGCATCTAAAAATAAAGTTTAAATTACTTTGCAGATCCTTTAAGATATTTAATTGTAATAGGTTGGTCTTTTAGGTTTTGTTTGTTACATGTTAGTACTTTAAGTTGCATAACGTCTACAACGTTAATTATTTTTAATGTATTCGTTCCAAAAAGGCTCAGTTATCACTAACGGTTATTATGTGGCATGTTACGTTGCTGACATTACTGTAACTTTGCTAGGATGTAATTTTTGGTCCTTAACGTTTATTTAATGAAACAAAACTCTCTATTTTAAGATTAAGAATTCCTAAACTTAACTCTAATTAGACAACCTCTACAAATACGAGCTGCTGCGAACGAAGATGGTGGATGAAAAAGGGAGATGAAGGATTCGAGGTAGACACACTCAGATGAGAAGATTTGAACGCTTAGGTAAGTAAATGTATTTGATTTCTACAGATTACTTTTCATTTTTCCTTCGATAATGTATTTGATTTATTGAGGTTTAGAGTTTTGTATGTGGTCCATTATATCACTTATTAATTTCTACAGGTTATTTTTCTGCCAAAAATGGATGTTTTTTATGTTGATTTTCATCATGGAGGACTATTGGACGATACAGGTAGATATGTAGGAGGGATAGTGTCAAACTGGAAGTGTGATGGTAACAGAGAGTGTTATTTTGAAATTTTAAGTGTTGTTAAAGAAATGAGGTATTCTGGGGTACTTGAAATGTGGTATGATTTTGCTGGTACTTTAAAGGAACTAATTATTAATGACTTTGGTGCAATAGAACTACTAAATTGGTCCAAGACTCATGGTAAGGTAGACGTATACATAGTTCACCATATTTCCCAACTTGATGTAGTAGATGCAGTTGATGTCAAACCTTTATTAACTTATGTCCAACCCACTGTAGTAGATGAGATACCTAAAACTGACATACCTAATGTAGTAGATGACATACCTGCAGCTAACATAGCTGATGTAATGGATGAGATACCTGAAGCTGACATAGCTGAGGGCCAACATGACATACCTAAAAATGACATAGGGATAGGACAACATGACACAATGAGTGAGATATCTGACATTGAGTCACAACCTAAGATACGTGTTGATAGTGACCATGATGAACAAAGTGATGATAGTGCATTAGGGTGCATATTTGATGACTCGGATGATGAGGTATTAAATGATGGAATTAATGAGGTTTTGGTAGGAGTAGGAGGATTTGTTGATGGGGAGAATGATCAAGTGGTGGATGAGGCAAGTAAAGGAAATAAAGGTAAGGGTGGTAGACCTAAGAAAAAAAGGCCAAGGGAAGTTCCAATAGGAAAAATGGAAGACCTTGCAAACAAAGGGTTGAAGAAGCCATGTCTGTTGAAAATGAACAAACTAGTGATGAAGATACAATTGATTTTGGTTTTATTAAAAATGATTAGAGGAAAAATGGTAGATAGGGGCCTGTCAGATTCAGATTATAAATCTGAAGAGTTGGAGATTGATGAGGATTCAAGTGGTGACTACTTAGATGAAGGAACTAAAGAAAATTTTTCATCATTTGTGATGCCTAATAAATTTCTGGACTATAAGTGGGTTTTAGGTAGGGATGGCAAAAAAACCTGTACCCGCGAATATCCGTGGCTAAAATCCGTCACGGATATGAGACGGGTAACTTAATGGATATCCACGGATGAAATAAATAGATATTTAAATACTCGTTTGTTAATGGATATGGATACAGGTTTAATAATATCTGTGTCCGCGGATATCCATATCCGTTAATAAATTATAAAAATCATGTAATATCATTAGTTTATTATACCTTATCTTTTCATCTTCTAAAAAAATTAGTCTTCTTATATTTCTTTCTTTCTTTTTTAAATTTTCTTTGAAGAAATTTTTTCACATTTCATTCAAATTCTATTAGTCATTTCATATTTAAACTCTTTAATACTTCATACATCACTTCAATAATTTCACAGTCCAATCAACTAGTGTCGTCATTCCTTTGTTGAATTAGTGTTTCCCTTTCTACTCCTCTGTCGTCCGCTCTACCATCATAACTTACAATCACAATATCTTTTATTTGTTTGGTTAAAAATAAAATGTATGAATATTATATTTGGATCTAATTATATTTTGGTGAATAAGAAGAAAACTAATGTGATGAAATTTCATTGTTAAATTATAAGCAAATTGTATGGATGTTAATGTGATAATAACTTTTTGTATCTTTAAAAGAAATTAACAAAAATTCAAAAAATAATTTTTATAAAGAAAATATTATCCATGGATATCTGTAAATATATGCGGATGTCGTAAAACACGCGGATTACCCGCTTAATGGATACCTGCATGGATATGGGGCAGATATGAATATCATATTTATCTAATGGGGTGGATACAGATATCATAGTATCCTTCTCCATGGATATCAACTTTACATCCCTAGTTTTAGGTATCATGTTCTCACCAAAGGAGGAGTTTAAAGAAGCAATAACAAACTATGATGTTCATAATGGTAGAGATTTACCCTTTATAAAGAATGATAAGATAGGGGTTAAAATGGGATGCAAGGAAGGGTGTGAATGGGTTGCATTATGTTCCAAATTGCCAAATGAGGATACATGGCAACATGAGAAAATTGATTGACACTCATTCATGCAATAAGGAGTTTAATGTAAGGATGTGTAACACTCAATGACTTGGGAAAAAGTTATACTCAATTGTTAGAGTTAGTCCAGCTGTGAAACTCACTACAATATGTGACAAAGTTCATGAAACATATAATAATGGTATGAATAGGATGAAGGCTTACAGGGCAAGGAAGGTATCACTTAATTATGTAGAAGGGTCATTCAAGGAACAATATCTGAGGTTGTATGACTACACACATAAATTGTTGAGATCAAATCCAAATAGCACAGTTAAGTTGAAAGTGCAACCAACTGAACCACAATGTGAGGAAATTGAGCAACATGAGAACTATGTAAGCAGACCATTATTGTCAAGTTTTCAACGACTATATATGTTTCTTGATGCTTTTAAAAGAAGTTTTCAAGTTTGTAGACCAATCATTGGAATTGATGGGTGCTTTCTCAAGGGTCATTATGGAGGAAAGCTTCTTTCACTCAATAAGTACAAATTTTGAGAACTACATAAAAAGTGCTCATATTCATTAGTCATTTGTGGTATGCAAGTCGACCGTATTTTTTTATAAATTATAAATTTGACTAATTTACGTTAAAAGATAATATTAGATCGATTTTAAAAATAAATAAATAAAGTGAGTTATAACCATGAGGGATTGATGAATGTCAGTATCAAACCCCACACCTCATGGATTATGAGGACCATCCTAAAACAGAGGGATAACTTGGTGGATATTCAACAGGTATGGGATCACATGTTAACTAGAAACAAGTTTAGGATGAATGATATTTATATGGTAATGTGTAGTAATGCCCCAAAAGTAATGTGGAAGAACATACTCCAAAGTAATGCTGCTCGACCAAGGGCTCTAATTACTATGTGGTTTGCGTGTCATGGAAGATTGACTATAAAACAACGCCGTTTTCGATTTGGTATGATCACCGATGATAGATGTTGTCTGTGTGCTAAAGAGGAGGAAACTATTAATCATCTATTATTCTGCTGTCCTGAAACAGTGTGTATCTGGACCAAAATCCAAGATTGGATCCAAATTCGGCAGGTCCCGCGACCGTGGGATGAAGAAATGGACTGGGTGTGCAGGAGTACGAGCGGTAAGGGTTGGCGAGCATCCCTCCTGAAACTGGCTATAACGGAAACTGTTTATGGTGTATGGAAATACTGTACTGATATTTTTTACGGTAATGTTATAGATAAGACAAAAATTGGTGATAATATTATAGATGTGATTGTTTATAGGGGGTGGTATAACCAGAAACTTAGGCCGCACATTGCTCACTTGATGACTTATTAGTGTATTTTTGTACTTTTCATTTGGTCTTTGTGTCTTTTCTGAGTGCAGGATCCTCGCGGTCGCCTTGTACTTGTACTGCTTTTTTGAATTAATTCAATCTTCCTTTGATTCAAAAAACATTGTTTTTTAGTGGGGAAAAACCTAAAATTTTGTGATGGAGTACAAAAATAAAATATAATTAATTTTTTACATATACTATAGTCTATTATGTTTTTTGAATGGTGATAAAAAGATTAAAACTGTGGGAGTACATCTACAAAAATCATAATAGACTATAGTAGATGTAAAAAATTACTTATATTTTATTTTTCTACTACATCACAAAATTTTAGGGTTTTCCCCACTAAAAAACAAAGTTAAAAGACTATAATCCATGACATATATTTCTTATAAAATATGTAATAAATAAAATAAATAATCAAGCTAGAAATTATTTATATTTACCATAATTCACATTGAATTATGGTTAATTAGATGTAAATTTATTCAATATGTTTACTCTCCATCACCAAATTTCACCTTTCTTCGTCAGTAAGCCACAGAGTTAAAAGACTATAAAACATAATAGATATACACAATTTCTATAATTTTCTTCTTCTCTGTCACCAAAATTTTGGTTTCATAACCTCTAAGAAACTAACTTAAGAGAATACAAATGAATGACCCATGATTTATACACATGCATAACAATTAAAATTAAATAATCATGCTCAATATTAATTATATTCATCGCATTCACATTGACTTATGGTATATGACATCTAAAAATATTAGATATTTTTCTTCACCGTCCCAAAGTTTTAATCTTTTTATCACCATTCAAAAAATAGACTATAGTAGATGTAAAAAATTACTTATATTTTATTTTTCTATTCCATCACAAAATTTTAGGTTTTTCCCCACTAGAAAACAAAGTTAAAAGACAATAATCAATGACATATATTTCTTATAAAATAGGTAATAAATAAAATTAATAATAAAGCTAGAATTTATTTATATTTACCATAATTCACAATGAATTATGGTTAATTTGATGTAAATTTATTCAATACGTTTCTTCTCCATCACAAAATTTCACCTTTCTTCGTCAGTAAGCCACAGAGTTAAAAGACTATAAAGCATAATAGATGTAAACAATTTCTATATTTTTCTTCTTCTCCGTCACCAAAATTCTAGTTTCTTAACCTCTAACAAACTAACTTAAGAGAATACAAATGAATGACCCATGATTTATACACATGCATGACAATTAAAATTAAATAATCATGCTCAATATTAATTATATTCATCGTATTCACATTGACTTATGGTATATGACATCTAAAAATATTATATATTTTTCTCCACCGTCCCAAAGTTTTAATCTTTTTATCACCATTCAAAAAATAGACTATAGTAGATGTAAGAAATTACTTATATTTTATTTTTCTACTCCATCATAAAATTTTAGGTTTTTCCCCATTAAAAAACAAAGTTAAAAGACTATAATCCATGACATATATTTCTTATAAAATAGGTAATAAATAAAATTAATAATAAAGCTCGAATTTATTTAAATTTACCATAATTCACATTGAATTATGGTTAATTTGATGTAAATTTATTCAATATGTTTCTTCTCCATCCCCAAATTTCACCTTTCTTCGTCAGTAAGCCACAAAGTTAAAAGACTATAAAGCATAATAGATGTAAACAATTTCTATATTTTTCTTCTTCTCCGTCACCAAAATAATGGTTTCTTAACCTCTAAGAAACTAACTTAAGAGAATACAAATGAATGACCCATGATTTATACACATGCATAACAATTAAAATTAAATAATCATGTTCAATATTAATTATATTCATCGCATTCACATCGACTTATGGTATATGACATCTAAAAATATTATATATTTTTCTTCACCGTCCCAAAGTTTTAATCCTTTTATCACCATTCAAAAAACATAATAGACTATAGTAGATGTAAAAAATTACTTATATTTAATTTTTCTACTCCATCACAGAATTTTAGGTTTTTCTCCACTAAATAACAAAGTTAAAAGACTATAATCCATGACATATATTTCTTATAAAATAGGTATTAAATAAAATTAATAATAAATCTAGAATTTATTTATATTTAACATAATTCACATTGAATTATGGTTAATTTGATGTAAATTTATTCAATACGTTTCTTCTCCATAACAAAATTTCACCTTTCTTCGTCAGTAAGCCACAGAGTTAAAAGACTATAAAGAATAATAGATGTAAACAATTTCTATATTTTTCTTCTTCTCCGTCACCAAAATTTTGGTTTCTTAACCTCTAAGAAACTAACTTAAGATAATACAAATGAATGACCCATGATTTATACACATGCATAACAATTAAAATTAAACAATCATGCTCAATATTAATTATATTCATTGCATTCACATCGACTTATGGTATATGACATCTAAAAATATTAGATATTTTTCTTCACCGTCCCGAAGTTTTAATCTTTTTATCACCTTTCAAAAAACATAATAGACTATAGTAGATGTAAAAAATTACTTATATTTAATTTTTCTACTCCATCACAAAATTTTAGGTTTTTCTCCACTAAAAAACAAAGTTAAAAGACTATAATCCATGACATATATTTCTTATAAAATAGCTAATAAATAAAATAAATAATAAAGTTAGAATTTATTTATATTTACCATAATTCACATTGAATTATGGTTAATTTGATGTAAATTTATTCAATACGTTTCTTCTCCATCACCAAATTTCACCTTTCTTCGTCAGTAAGCCACAAAGTTAAAAGACTATAAAGCATGCATAATAGATGTAAACAATTTCTATATTTTTCTTCTTCTCCGTCACCAAAATTCGGGTTTCTTAACCTCTAACAAACTAACTTAAGAGAATACAAATGAATGACCCATGATTTATACACATGCATAACAATTAAAATTAAATAATCATGCTCAATATTAATTATATTCATCGCATTCACATCGCCTTATGGTATATGACATCTAAAAATATTAGATATTTTTTTCACCGTCCCAAAGCTTTAATCTTTTTATCACCATTCAAAACACATAATAGACTATAGTAGATGTAAAAAATCACTTATATTTTATTTTTCTACTCCATCACAAAATTTTAGGTTTTTCCGGACTAAAAAACAATTTTAAAAGACTATAATCCATGACATATATTTCTTATAAAATAGGTAATAAATAAAATAAATAATAAAGCTAGAATTTATTTATACTTACCATAATTCACATTGAATTATGGTTAATTTGATGTAAATTTATTCAATACGTTCCTTCTCCATCACAAAATTTCACCTTTCTTCGTCAGTAAGCCACAGAGTTAAAAGACTATAAAGCATAATAGATGTAAACAATTTCTATATTTTTCTTCTTCTCCGTCATCAAAATTATGGTTTCTTAACCTCTAAGAAACTAACTTAAGAGAACACAAATGAATGACCCATGATTTATACACATGCATAACAATTAAAATTAAATAATCATGCTCAATATTAATTATATTCATCGCATTCACATCGACTTATGGTATATGACATCTAAAAATATTAGATATTTTTCATCACCGTCCCAAAGTTTTAATCCTTCTATCACCATTCAAAAAACATAATAGACTATAGTATATGTAAAAAATTACTTATATTTTATTTTTC